AAAAAAATGTTTTTATTCGGAAAATAATAATGTTGTATGAAATATTAATATAACGATGTATGATCTTGAGTACTTATCACACATACACGCGTCTCGTGTTAGAATTGTAAATTTATTTTCTACTACGTCTCTATCTGTGAAAACCTCTAAGTGGCCTTTTTTATCATCATCATCATCATCATCATCTGCTTCTTTCTTATCTCATTTATTTGTGGTCTCTTATCCCATGGATGGTGGAGTGTGGATGGTTATTTCTTTTTTACTATATTCATTACTAGCTGTTCCCGCGCCTTCGTCCGCATGGAATTTAACTTTATTTTTCTAGATAAAAGAGTTTTTCTAAAATAAAAGTAGCCTAAATTACTCCTTATTCCATCAGCTACCTGCCAAAAAAGTCCCGTCAAAATCGGTCCAGCCATTTCAGAGATTAGTTAGAACAAACAGACAGATAGACAGACAAAAATTGTAAAAAATGTTATTTTAGTGTATATGTATTTATATTCATATGCATGTAGTAAAAAATGGTTATTTCAATATTACAAACAGACACTCCAATTTTATTTACAATGTATATTTATATAGGTGTCTATTTCGATCATTAAATGAAAATCCCGTGCATGAACAACTATTGCCATGCACGCTCGTCATTCAACTAATCGTTTAGTGAGTAATAGGCATTGCTCAGTAAGTATTATTTAACGGATGTTTTGAATAGTTTTTTATTATTATTTATGTATGTATTTAGGTTTTTATATTATTCTATCTTATATATAAAATTCTCGTGTCACAGTTTTCGTTCCAATACTCCTCCGAAACGGCTTGACCGATTCTCATGAAATTGTGAGCGTATTGAGTAGGTCTGAGAATCGGCCAACATCTATTTTTCATCCCCCTAAATGTTAGTGGTAGTCCAACCCTATATATTTTTTTATATTTTAAGGCAAAACAACGTTTGCCGTGACAGCTAGTTATTCTATAATATGACAAGTAAGTAAAATAGCTCTACCAATTACGACCACTGCTTATTACTCCCGGAAAAATATCGTAAATGTGTTGGTGTTGGCCAGATTATAACAAATGTCATAGGTATGAAATTAAATGCGTGTTTCGGAAGAATATATAAATGGCATGGCGCCAATGTTACGATTGCGTACACAATGTATTGTGTAAACATACAAACAACTATAACCGACTTCAAAAAAGGAGAAGCAAATTCAAGAAAAAAATCGGTACACATTCAAAAGTTCTAAGGTAACAAAAGGGTTGCGTACACAATATATTACGTTCAGATAGAATCAACTCAATATTTGTTAACTGACTTCAAAAAAGGAAAATCAAATTCAGTAAAAAAATCGGTACATTAAAAAGTTCAGGTATAACACGTAAATGTTTTTTGTAACACATGAAAAAAACTACTTGCTACGTGAATCGATTTTGATTTAGTTATTTTTAAACTTTCGTGTTTAATATACATTATTTATATTATAAAATAAATACCTTTATTTGCCATAAAATTAGTTCGTGTTAAGACCCGTTTAATAAATAAGGGTATATTAAGGTTTCTTAAGGGTCGGCAACGCGCACGTGACACCCCTGGTGCTTCAGGCGTCCATAGGCTACGGTAACCATTTACCATCAGATGGACCGTGTGCTTGTTTGCCACCATAGTAGTATAAAAAAAAAATTATATATATTTTTTTATTGTTTTACTGATTTTGATTATTACAATAAAAAAAAATATATTGATTAACTACTGATCTTAGTTATTCTTATGAACGAGATTCAAGCCTAATCATGACCTAAACCATTATAATTATTTAATGTACTGCCAGAAGTAGACTCGTATAGGCAACCGTATGCCTGTTTGCCAGTGTCGTAGTATAAAAAAAAATACCACTAAAGTATCTCAGTACTACCACAGATAAGATAATATTACATAGTATCACTTACCTTTAACTGCTTCTGTTTTTTTCTTAACATTGTCCTGCTCTGGCTTCTGTTTCTTTTTATTCTTGCTTTGGTTCCCATCTGATGGGTCGAACAAGCTGAAGAAGGACTCCATTATTCTGTAAATATTAAATAAAAAAAAATATTGACATACCAATTAAGGAAGAAAAATATAAAGTAATTTTATAATCAATATTAATACCGAATACAATGGATGTATGGGCTGAATCCTTTTGCCATTACCTGAGACGGGAAAACAGTACAAAAAAAAATTAAAAGATATGGGGGATGTCGCTTTAACTAATTTAGAAATCATTAAGCAAATATTACTGAAAATCAGCAAGAACTAGCAGAGAGACGACAAAAATATTTTAAATTATTTTTTTTATGTAAGTATCGTATATACCTTCATATGCATTTATTGAAAAGCTGTTAAATTGAAATTACAACCAACAACCAGACGCTTAAATTTTATTTACTTGTACATAAATATATAAATGCGACGGCAGCCTTAGCCAAGTGTATGTAGACATGGAGGGCTAGCAACAAGTGCCAAAGAAAATTCAGCGGTAAACTATACGCATTCCCGCCAAAAATGACATTTCTGTTTACTACTAGTCTTGCGCAAATCAGCTCAAATTCAGTTCGGACGTCTTTTGCGAACTATATACTTCGTTCACTCCATCCTTGAGTCATTGAAGGGCAGAAAGCTAATCAGTTATTTCCTTAAAAATACCTATAAATATTTTAAATGAAATAACTGCTTTATTTATTTTTTTGTAAGAATCAACCTCTAACCAAGTATTGTTAAAGAAAGGTTTTTTATTACTAAGAATTTTCGCGATTTACTAAACGAACTAAAGAGCGAAAACTGAAATTTGTTTGCGTAATTTGTCTTAGGTTTCGCTCTTTTGAACTAGTTTGTTATTGAACTACACAAGTTTATTTACTACTTACTTCGTTATTTATTTTTGGCAGCAAACAGTTTAATATAAAATTTGACTTTGTTTTTATTTGAAAAACGCGGGAGAATGTATAGCGGTTTTTTTTATTTTCGATATAAATGTATGTATTAATCAAGTATATGATCTACCTGTATACCAAATTGTTGTTTTAGAATAAAATAGCTTGCCTTATTGCAATCATTATTTATTTCCCTCTTTTTACATACTATTATTTATTTTTTATATGTTTTAAAATAAAAAACACTGAGTACACAGACTTAGAAACTAAACAGTACAGACTACATCTCATACCTTTGGCTATTCCACATCCATACTATTTGTTATTGCATTATTTCATACAACATTCAAATTATTCGTTTTTTATGTAATTAAAATGACATATAAACTGATGGCCCATTTAATGAGGTAACCATCATTGGCTGTATGGGTGCAGTTCCCTTAGCCTTTCCGATAAAGGATAAACAGAACCAAAAAAAAAAGGTAACCATCATATATACATAAGGCTGAAGGGGCTTAGACTCTTTCATATAAGAATAAATAAAACTAAAAATAATACTTTACTTGATGATTATAAAATATATACTTGAAGAGCAATACAGGCACTATGTTACTATATACACAGACTATTCGGTTTTATGTGATGCCTATGATATCACTTAAAAATTGCTATTCTGGAGAGCCAAAAGGATGTGCTTCCATGTCCTGTAAATTCACTGTGTTATCTCTACTACAATTGAAATACATCTTATTGTTAGAAAACAAGTTGCATGGTGGCTGAAGTAAGTAAAACTGAATTAACCCTCAGACACACTTATTTTCTTCATTACCTCATTGTTATATTGTTTACCTCATTGGGTACATACAGATGACTTTTTACAAAGTCTATAGTGTCTTATATATGAATTAAATTATTTTTACTTTGGCAGGTAGCTGATGTAATAAAGAGTAACTTAGGCTACTTTTAAATTTAAAAAATCCATTATTTTAGAAGTTAAGTTCCATGCAGACAAAGTCACGAGTACAGCTAGTTAATCAACATAGGAGGATAAAGCAGATGGGAAACCTGACAATCTCCATAACAAGTCACCTTATTATAATTAAAATTAAAGGTTAAATTCTCCTTTTATAATAATAATCATCAGAAAAGGACTGACTGTAAACTGTTATAACAATCATTATGATGAAATATGATGAATGAACTACAAATAATAATTACTACTTAGATACTTTAGTATACTACAAATCAGTACTTATTACTTAAACAATACAATTTGCATAATTAAAGCATAGGTGATGCAATTTCATAGTCTATTAATTTTATTTTTTTGTATTATTAAGTACCTATAACATTTTCACAACGTTTATTTTCGATTATTAAAATGAAAGTTTCAATAAAGCAATAAATTAATATTTGTTAATTTTACTTCTCAATTAAATGAAACTAATTTAATTTAGGAGGAAAAAGTACAATCTAAATTGTCAAGGTTCATTGCAAAATCATTAGAAAGGGTAACGCAACTTTCGCGCCAATTACCTTTTTAAATTACGAACAAGAATCTAATTAGAATATCGTAGTTTATATTTTTTTTAATTAAGAATGAATAGATAAAGGATTTACTTACAAACAGCTGTTGCAGGTTCAAGGCCGCACAAAAAACAAGCTCACTGTTACCAACGAGACGTTCGTAGCGTTTGTGAGTCAACAAAACTAACACAAACAAGGGAACACTGCCAAGTTATTTACAATGACGTAAAGAATAAGATAATGGTGTAATAAAGAACTGTGTAAATAATAAATAATCAGATCTTTGTCAGATCTAAATAGTACGATAGTATGACGGCGCAATTGTATTTCATTTTACGCAAATTATATTGTTATGCTTGACATGTAACATGTATTGCCGATAAGAAAAGTTTCATAACATTTAATAATCCAGTTATGAAATAAAGATTTTCTGATTATAGAAATACAATAAGCAATACATTGAATGTATACAAACGTCAAATCCTATTTGACATTTTTGACAATTTTAAACCGACATTGACTGTCAGTTTCAGACAGTTTCAGATATAACAGCTATTCCAAAGCCACAAAACAATGTAACATTAAAACAATTGTTTGTTTGTTTTTCTTCGAAATTTGAAATTATTATTTTTTGTTTACTTGAGTATATTTTATTTTAAGTACAAAACAGTGTTTAGAATTCAATTAAAATGTCCATTCAAGTGGAAAACAATTTGAAAGATACGGAGAACGATAATATATTTAATCAGAGCGTACATTTTATGCCTTGCAAGGTGGAGGAAGACGGGCCGGCAAATGTTCGCAAATATTTCGAGCCGTATATTAAAGAAGACGAAAATGGAGGTATATTTAAACAATTGATTTTATTATTCAACAACTAATATTATAAATATTACATTTTAACCGACTACGCAGAAATAGAAGGGTTATAAATTACTCCCGTCATGACAGAGCTGCGCACGATTTCTATTGTAGTGAATTCTTAATGCTACGTTTACATACAGCCGCTTCCCCTGCCACTCGCGCTGCCGGAAATATTGCCGAGTGATAACTGAGCGAGAGGGCTAAATGTAAAAACACGCTGCCACTCGCGCTGCCAGTGCTTTGACTCGCGCACGAAAAACCGACAATCGAGGGAGCGCCGGGCAGCGCGAGTGGCAGCGCCAATGGCATGGGAAGTGTTTCCACTCTCGCGCTGCTCACTTCCCTGCCCACTCTGGCTGAGTGTAAATTGGGCATTTAAGTTTTTTTTTATAAATTAGTACTAATTTATGAATTTAAATATACATATAAATTTGCTTTCTATAGGCAGGTAGTGTTAGAATATTAGATAGACCTAATAAAAACCTTAAAAAAAATCCAATATGTGTCTTTTCTGTAATTATTATAATGATTTCTTATGTAGTTATTTTGATTCCATATTCATTATGATTGTTTGTATATATTGGTATGGGTATAGTATGTATTTACAATAAAAAAAGTATTTATTGTGTGTTTTTAATGTATAGTATGTGTTTACAAAAAAACCTAATATCAGTTGTATCATACCCATAACACAAGCTCTGCTTAGCTATCTTAAAAATATCAGGACAATTCACACAGAGCCTAGTCCCAGGCTCTGTGTGAATTGTCCTGATATTTTTTTTATATTCTAGATTTATCTGCGACCTTCTGGAGATATTTATATTATGTTGTTTTATATTTTAGATTTATCTGCAACTTTCCGGGGACGCCAACTCGATGGCGTTAAGATGGCACTGCCAGATGGTTACAGAGCAGTTGTGATCACTGAAGCGAAGAGGCCACTCACAGAAAATGCAGATAGAAGATTTCAGGTATTTTGTTTAATATGCACAGTTCGCTAATACATATCTGCAATGCAATGTATAGTATGATGTAACATCACAGATTTTGTTCTAACACCAGGATTATTACACTGAAATGGCTGGACCGATTTTAAAAGGACTTTCACTCGCACATAGCTAATATAATAAGGAGTAAATTAGGCTATTTTATTTTAGAAAATTTAATTATATTAATAAAATAAAGTTAAATTCCATACAGAGAAAGTTGCAAGTAGTTGGAAAAATATTTAGCTTAAATTGCAAATAAAATCATGCAGACAAAGATAGGGGTAACAGCTAAGTAGTTTGATAATTGCAAGCAAGATAATAGTAATAATAGAAGAACTATTTATATTAATCATCTACTGGTGCACCTGCTTGCACTAACGGTGCGGGGCACCAGGCTACAGTGGAGGATGATAAGATGTACAGGTTTTTTTTTACTCCGAGTACATTTACCAGCAGTCATAGGACTATAAGCGAAAATGTTCTGTGATGCTGTCATGTAGAGTGGCTTCCCATTGGAAACTTCTACTCATCTGTATTTTAGAGCTACTGCCGATCTTCTAGCTCCAGAATATGATGGCGTTTTAGTCTCACATGCTGTTCTATATGAGTTGTTTAGCAAGTTTGTTAGGGTAATGGATCAACAGTTCTTATATTTGGCTGCCAAACTCTAAATTCCTCCTTCACTGTTCTTACTTTAAGTTGGTCATGGACTTGTTGGTTATGTACCATGGTACTTGTACAATGGTTCTTAAAATCCTGATATTTACAATGTGCTAACTGACCTGACCTCATACTCATCCTATCATCCTCCACTGGTGCCCCGCCAGCGTAAACCGATAGCGCAGGCGGGTGCACCACTACATTTACAGGAATGTATCACGATAGTTTCCAGAATAAACCATATGTAGGTCAACCAGACATGGTGGGGAGAAGCAGACTGTTAGTAATGTGGACTAATGACCCCATTACTAGTGTTCAAAATCTACCCTGTATCATCGTAAGCACAGATATTATATTATATTAGAGTCCGTTAGTTTTCTGTTCCCGCGCGTTCCCTTCCCCTCCTTAACTAGTAACAAACTGACTGTACAGCGACCTTGACGCGCGCGCGCATTGTGTTGTGAATTAAAATAAATTAGAACTGTGTTAACCTACTGTGAAACCTACTGTGAAGCTGGAAAGCTAGCGAAGATACCTTCGAGACCCTGAAGCCCAAGAAATCCGCAGAACCATAAAGGTAAATGACTGCCGCTTCCCTAACATTTTGGTAGCAGAGTAGTTTCCCAAACAACTAGCAATGCACCATGTCAGGTTGAACTCCATGCGGTTCCCCCTGGAAACCATCTTGATAAATTCTTGGTGAATTTGTCACGATTTGCTAACTGACCTGACCTCATGCCCATCTTATCATCCTCGACTGGTGCCCCGCCAGCGTAAACCGTTAGCGCAGGCGGGTGCACTATTCCATTATCCTTACTTCCTTACTAATATTATAAATGCGAAAGTAACTCTGTCTGTCTGTCTGTCTCGCTTTCACGCCTAAACCATTGAACCGATTTAAATGAAATTTGGTATACAGATAGTCTAGACCCTGACAAAGGACATAGGCTACTTTTTAATGTGAAAAAAGGGTTGCAAGGGGTTGAAAGGGAATATAAAAGGTTCTATGAAAGTATCGTCATTTTACGCGGACGAAGTCGCGGGAGCAGCTAGTCATCCATAAAAAAACCAGACATGATACTCTACCACTACTAACCAATGGAGTTATCAGTCCACATTACTAACAAGTTATTATATATTATTATATAGTTATATATTATTAACAAGTTCCAGTTTGGTACTCTACTTGTATTAAAAGAAACCAACTTTTTTCCAATTCTTCAGGTAGCTGGTGGCTTCACAGGCATGACTCACTGGAATTGGGATAAGAAACCTTCCAAGAATGATAACCTCGTGAAAGCATTAGACTGGGTGGATATTGCTGAAGCTGTAAGTAAAAATATCTATATATAAATTAAAACCAGGGATGTTAAGGCGCTCCATAACCGTAACCGAAACCGGATATCCGATATAAAAAATATCCGTAACCGTAACCGAATCCGAAATAAAAGTTTCGGATAATATAGGATAGGAGCGGAACCTAATTGAGATACGTTGTGTAACCGTTTTATTAGCTATTTGTAATTCACTTTTGAAATTAATATCCGTAACCGAAATTATTCGAAACTAACGGATAATCCGAAATAATTTCATATCATTTTTCATAGCATCCGTATCCGTATCCGGTATAATAATCATTCCTATATCCGAAACCTATCCGTATCCGAAATTTCATATCCATAACATCCTTAATTAAAACTATAGAATAACTTCTTATTAATATTATAAATGCGGAAGTTGGTTTGGATGGATGTTTGTTACTCTTTCACGCAAAAACTACTCAACGGATTCTGATGTATAAACTATATACTGTAATTTGATTATCAGATCATTATATATTTATTTATATTTATGTATATATATATTTTTTTTTATAGAAATTTATATTTAAATATTTCCCTTTATATTTTTGTTTTTGACATTTCTTATTTATATTAGTGCACCGCCATCTTTCTCTACACCACTCATGGTTGCCTGGTAGATAATGCCACAAGGTAATAAGTCCGCCGTATGTACATATTGTTTTTGTGCATTAAACTTAAATAAATAAAGCTTCATCAAGAAGCTTACAGTATATAGCTTATACATCAGAACAGCACATAGGCTATAATTTAAAAAGATATGTGAATTGGGCGATATATAATGATAAGTGTGAAGCAGACGAAGTGACGCGGGTCAACTAGTAACTGTATAAAAATTAATCTTACCATAAAAAATCTGTATGTTCTTATTTTAGACAACATCTTCATAAACACAATTAAATACCTACAATATTTCGATGTCATAGTAAAATATTTAAAAGAACTACTCTTTATAAAGTGTCTGATTCTAATGTCAAATTAACAAATGTAATAATTATTTTTTCAGATACATGGAGACTGAAATTTGGAAGGTTAGAATAAGTTACGTGCTATTCATGTCAAGGTGCAGGTTGTAAAACAGATTCCATTTTGCACGTAATTCTTATCTTTTTTCTTCTCCAATTGTATGTATATACTTTCAAAATACACTTTTACTAATTTTATTTATATATATATATATATTATTTTAATACCGACTGCGCCATGTCAAGGTGCAGGACCAAGGTGCTAACAGAAAGACGTTTTGATTGAGACTGTTTAATAAAGGAACATGCAATACAGTACCCACATAATATTCATAATACAATTACCCACAATTCAAATCAAATAAAAAATAATTTATTCATGTAGGATATTTTACCCGCTCACTAAAGTAAAAAATGTATTAATTTTTTCCCTACCATCCAGTTCAGTATATAGATTCAATTGAGAAGAACTGGCAAGAAAATCGACTGTTTTTTTAGCCAGTATTTTTACATGTACTTTGTAGGTCTATGTCTAACATTAAGTGTATTGTAATACTTATTTTATTTATATAACATTAACCTTTCGAATGTCCGTCGTCTCGCAGCGACTGAAACTGAAGAGGCGGTATGCGTGCGCCAGCTGTATTTTTTCAAATGCGTTTCGATCTTATTTCGTTCCAAATAAGGACTAAATTGGTTAAAAAGAAGTCACGGTTTTGCGGGCACAGATCTGTGTCAAAATGTTCGAAGGGTTAATGCACATACGTGCAAAGGCGACCTGCCTTATGTACTTTACATAAGGCAGGCATAAGGCGTACATAAGGCGACCTGCCTTATGTACTTTACGCTTTACGCCTAACATTGTAACCTTAAACTGTAAATAATTCATGTTAAACTAAATGATGTTTGATGTGGTTTGACTTTTAAAAACTATGTATGTACGTCAGTTCAAAGTTACATCGCTCATTCGATCCTGATCTGTCCGAAATGCAATATTCGAGTGGTTGGACTGTAATTATTTCAAACTCTGCATTGTATTGTCAACCTAAAACAGTTGCTAGTAGTATCTAAAACCTAAAACAGCCAGAATCATTGGTAATCAACGTCTATGTGACAGACTCGACCCGTTGGCTTTAGGCGAGATATTGCATCTCTGTGCATTTTCTACTGCATATATCACGGGGAGTGTTCTGAGGAATTGTTCGGATTGATACCAGCTGCTGAGTTTCACCACCGTACCACCCACCAGAAACTGAAATACCATCCTGATCATCTGGATGAATGGCGGTCCTCCACAGTGCGGTTTTCTAGCAACTTTTTGCCACGCACAACCAGCCTTCCAGCAATGGTATTTCCGAACCGATACGATATTGAAACCTTCAAGAAGAGAGCTTATTCCATTTTAAAAGGCCGACAACGTACTTGCAATTCCCCTGGTATTGCGGGTGCTCATGGGCGGCGGTAACCACTTACCATCAGGTGAGCCGCATGCACGTTTTTCCCCTGTGTTAAATATTAAAAAAAAGAAATAAAACGATTGAACAAAAACAAAAACAATTTTTTATTTTTTTATTAAATGTACAAGTTGTAACATATATATATATATCTATGTATAATAGTCTATGTTAATAAGTTAATTGTAAATATTGCTTTATAGTCTGTCCGTCTGTTAACTCGGCGACAAATCGGACATTATAGAGCAAGAGCCCACAACGGCCAGACATACGTCATTTTCTTGCTCAGTTTAATAATTCTCTCAATAATATATATAAATTTCAGCTTTATTAAAATGACGTAAGTTTATTTATAAAATAGTATAGTTTAGGGGGGTCCGGCGGGGGGTTGGAACCACACTACGTGTCTGGCAATGAGCAGAGCAAGTTATAATACTGTTACGAGCAATATGTGAAAAAATGGAGCATCTTAAAATAACGAATTTGATATGAAATTGTATACACCGTTGTTACCCAATATACGGTTTAAATTAGTCTGGTAGGATAAGGAACCAAGAAAACTGTCTGGCAATTTAGGAAACTCAGTTTAATAGTTCTCTCAATAATATATATAAAGTTCAGCTTTATTAAAATGACGTAAGTTTATTTATAAAATAGTATAGTTTAGGGGCGTCCGGCGGGGGTTGGAACCACACTATATAATGATTATAATAATGCTACGAACAATATATGAAAATATGGAGTTTCTTAAAATAACGAATTTGATATGATTTTTTTTACACCTTTGTTACCTGGTACCTGCTAAAGGAACCACGATCCAAATTTCATATTTGGGGATCGTTCTTACCTGTGTTGGGGACACACATACAAGAACTTTCACGTTTACTAAAATGACGTATGTCTGGCAGTCGTGGGCTCTTGGGCTATTATCTATGTTGCCAGCTTTTTGGGATAGGCAGTCGGAGTGCTTGCGGCATGTTATTTTTTTAATATGGATGATAATGAAATGGTGCACTCGTCTAACGGTTTACGCTGGCGGGGCACCAGTGGAGGATGATAAGATGAGCATGAGGTCAGGTCAGTTAGCCCATCGTGACAAATTCGCCAAGAATTTATTACGATGTTTTCCAGGGGGAACCGCGTGGAGGTAACCCTGACATGGTACATAAATATAGGGTTGTTGAATCAAAATAGATTTTTATTTACATATATTTCACTAAAACAAGGATTGCCTTTTTATAAATCAAATGACCTTCGTATGGTTTCATATATATATAAACAAGCATATGGCTAAACTAGGCCTATGCACGACATGTATCTGCAGATTCTGCCAAACTGAAGAGGAAACGCCGCTTCACATCCTATGTGGTTGTAGCCCACTCATGCATAAACGAAATATCTCCTTTGGAAAGTTTACACTCTTTCCCGAGGAGATAAAAACCATCGCTCCTAAGAATATCCTTCAATTCTTGTCCCTGACGGGTCTAGGTAACGAACTTTGAAAAGGGCGAGCACAATAGATCTATGTAGGTCGCAGTGCTACAGGTGCTATAGATATCTGACAATAGCACAAACAACCCAATAAAAAAAATGGTTTCATATTTCATAAAACACATCTATTTGAAATATTTAGCTGTTTTTCAAAAAGAAAACCAATTGTTTTAGCTTAATACCGTAAAAATTACGATATGTATGGAAACAACAAAAATGTATTTTTGTGTTGTTTAATACAAAGACAGTAATCGAAACACTAGTGCAGGGTAGGCGAACCTAAAACGTGCCATTTTTTCCAAAAAATGTTTAATGGGATCATTGACGTGACATCAAATAATTTTGACTTTCTGATTATTTCGAAAATAATAATAATAAATGCTATCAAAACTCTATGAAAAACAAAAGAGGTAGATTTTGGATTGTTTTCATTACACGCATAAATTAAATTACTGTAAAATTAGTGTGACTTCTGTTGCTGCAGGTTAGATGACAAATAATTTATGTCAGGCTTGTACGATGTTACTTTTAGCAAAATGCATGCTGAACTGGATTCATCTGTCAAACGGTTTCTAACCGAGTTTTTAATGTTATTCATCTCTGAAAATAATGACTCGCAGGCATAGGTAGGTGGAAATATTGTTAAAATATCATGAGCCAGCTTCTTCAAACAGTTTTATGATCGACGACGTGCCCAAAATATTTTGTCGCGTACCGTTAGTACTACCCTGCACTAGTGTATCTAAATTTCTAAAATACATCGTGGAAACTAGAAAAATTTAAAAAGTAATCGTTTAAAATGAAAAATTACGATTCAACAAATCGGTATCGCGGGTACTCCACTACTCCGCTAGAGGTGGTAACATAATTTGAAAATTTGATATACCTGTCAATTTAGTCACATTATTTGAAAATTTTAGATTTACAACTGTCAATTTAGTCACTTTATTTGAAAATTTGACATTTACACCTGTCAATTTAGTCACATTATTTGAAAACTTGACATTTACATCTGTCAATTTAGTCACATTATTTGAAAATTTGACATTTACAACTGTCAATTTAGTCACATTATTTGAAAATTTGACATTTACAACTGTCAATTTAGTCACATTGTTTGAAAATTTGACATTTACAACTGTCAATTTAGTCTCCGGGATTAAAAAACAGACTATACGTACTAATAGGGTATGGATAAGAAATATGTGTTTTTGTTTCAATTACTGTATGTAAATTCCAGTGTTTGATATTTTTTTAATGGTCCTGGATTTCACTCCTAAAGGTAAATATTTTTATAATAAAAAATGTGATGTTAATTATAATTGCATTGAAAATATATGTAATTTAACTATTTATATACAAATAAATAACATTGAACTGTCTGTTTGTAACATTAAATTAACTTTTTACTAAATAACTGTAATTAACCTACTTACATCCAAAAATTTTTTTTTGTCTGTCTTGTTGTTTGTTCTTGGTTATCTCTGGACACATTTTAATGGTAGAACTGAACTGTCTGTTTGTGATTTCAAATATATATATTACAGCTCTTTCCTGCATATGCATATAAAAGTATATAGTACTTACATAAAAAAAAATGTTTGTTCTTGTTAATCTCTGAACCGGCTGGACCGATTTTAATGGGACATTCACTCGTAAATAGCTAATGTTATAAGTAGTAACTTACGTTATTTTATTTATTTCATTATTGTAAAATAAGTTAAATTGCACGTGGACTATATCGAGGATAACAGCTAGTACATAATAATGAAAAAACACCCAGATCAATACAAACAATCATACTCGTGAATACAAATGTTTGTACCGTGCGAGGAATCGAACCCGCGACCATCGGAAGCAATCTGCTAACCGTTAGTCCACAGAGGCCGTCAATTACTTTTGGCATAACTTATATTTTTCTCTTAGTTTCTGTTTTATAGCTAACCTTCTCCTATTTTCTATTTTACTCATTGCAATTTTCCTATTTCTATTTTCTACTATCCTACTCTTCGTATTTCTACCAAATTTCCTATTTTCTACTACCGCACTTTTCATATTTCTATCATTTATATTATTATTTTCTATAGTCTTATTTCTACTATGTTTTTTGTTATCTACCGTAGTTTTTTTATCATTAGCAGTTTCCGATTCAGCGGCTATTGGATTCGTATTTCTACCGTATTTACCTACTGTTGCTTTTTTATTATTACCAACTTCCGATTCAGATATTGGATGTAAACCGAACTCGGGTCTCGACTCCAGCGTATCGAAATCATCAACATTTTCTCTACTAATCTTGTTATATATTTTCAAAAACTGCCAAAACTCTATATCTCCTCCTTTGATATTCTTCTCATAAAAATCTATTAGTTTTGGATCGCATTTATGATTGTTCACCACCGGTTTCGGATCCGCGAATCGGTTATCGCTAACCGTTTTATCTGTTTCAACTGTAACGTCGTTTTGACTGGAATTTTCCGGTTTTTGCGCATCATTAGCTAGTTTATGCTTCCATACTTTGCGCTTGAACGGTTTAGGATTTTTTTCGTGTCTTCTATTGTGTAGTTTTAATGCACTTAGTGTTCTACAGATTTTCTCGCATTGGTCGCAAGGGAAGAGCATTTTTATATCATTCTTTTTAGCTATGTGATACATACTTTTCAATCTTTCGCAATGATTATCACCCTTTATTTTCATTCTTTTAATCTCTTCCTCACTATACTTGGGTAGCATAAATTGGTTTACATCGATCTTCTCTCTTTGGACCATCCATTCGCTTCCCTTCTTAACCAATTTCGTTTTCGACACACATTTGTCTCTCCCCTTCCTTTTCCGTCTATCAATTTCTTCACTGGCCTGTTTATTCAGAATTTTAACGCTCGGTATAATCTCCATCGTGTTCACAACCGCATTGTCTATTTTGTAATAATATCTAGACGTTTTGTCGTTGACTTTTTTGTCGTTGATGCGAGCGAACGGCAGCTTGTCTATGATCACGTCGTGTATCAGTTTTATATGTCGTCGAATGTTGCCTTTGGTTACGTATTCGCATAGAGGACATTTCTTGAGCGTCATTTCAGAGCACACATCGAAATGTATTGTACAATGACGGAGCAGTTTCTCTTTCGTTTCGTATAGCTGAAACCGTAAATGTATTATTAAATTCATAACTATTTCGAACCGTGGACACAAAATACAGAAGACTGAATCAACAAACACAGAATCTTAGAAACCAATGAAATGATATACTGGATTTACCTTAAAAATAAAAACACCTTGTTCAATAAAAACATCTGTTAAATCATATTTACTGAGCAAAGCCTTACTCACTAAACGATTACTTGAATGACGAGCGTGCATGCCAATAGTTGTTCATGCACCGGATTATCATTTAACGTTAGACATAGACACCTATATGGTACACAATGTACATAAAATGTAATAACCTAGCTTTTAAAACAAAGAAAATTCAGTTGAGTTTCTTGCCAGTTCGTTTAATTGAGTGTCTATACTGAAGTGGACTGAAAAATTGATCGATCATACTAAAAATAAAATCTCCTACATGAATAAATTATTTTTGAATTGATTTAAAATGCAGAGAGAGGTAAATATCTTTATTTACCATAAAATTCGTTTTAAGACCCGGTTAACAATATTAAAATTTGTTATCTTTTCTTTTATTTCCCTATTAGTGCCCATAAGGGCAGTATATTTGGCAAATGTACCAAGTCCCAAGCCATTATAAAAGAAAAAAAGGGGCAGTGTATATATAATAAGTTAATAAAGATGTACACTAACCTTGAAACATATATAACACTGATGCGTATTAAACGTTATTTTCGCATGTTTTTGCTTTGTTCTAATATTGTTCATCTCGCTCACACTTGCAGGCGTCTCTTCTTCATCCATATTAGTTCTTTCTGATGCAATATTGCTATCTCTTTCGGTTGTAACTTCCTCTGCTTCACTATTGTCTCTTTCTGCTGTCTCTGCATCTTTATTGTTGTCTCTTTCTGCTTCCTCTGCATCACTTATGTCGTCTCTTTCTGCTGTATCTGCATCTTTATTGTTGTCTCTTTCTGCGTCCTCTGTATCACTATTGTCGTCTCTCTCTGATGCAATATCGTCATCCCTTTCTATATTAGGCAAATTGCTCTTATTCATGTTATCTTCCGAAACAATATTACCATCTCTTTCCGTTTCATACGCATTGTCTATATTGCTGTCACCGTCTGGTGTAATATTGTCTTTTTCAATGATTTGGTTATTTTCATTATACTTAGATCTATCATTAGAATCACTTAGTTTAGACTTCTCAGACATTTTTCCTAAAAAAAAAATATAATCTACTAGACAACTGATATGAATATTGAGATATTTCTTATATAAATACATACATTTGTATGTATATTACATAGAAAACATCCAGAATGATAAAAAAATCATACTCATGAATAAAAATGTTTGCATCATGCCAGGAATCGAATTGGGGAAGGACATTGTCAGTAATGTGGACTAATAACCACATTACTACCAATGTATCATATCAAGTTGACCTCCACTCAGTTCCGCCTGGAAATCAGTGATAAATTCCTGGTGAATTTACCACGATGTGCTAACTGACCTGACCTCATCTTATCATCCTCCACTGGTGCCCCCAACGTATGCCGTTAGGCGGGTGCACCATTACATTATCATCCATTAAAAAACATAATAATAATATTCGACTTAGGACTCGATTAGGACAATTCGCACAGCGCCATCTAGTCCCAAGCTAAGCTTGTGTTATGGGTACTAGACAACTGATAATATTTAGTAATAAATACATGGATGCATTTTTTTTAAATAAATACATATTATACATAGAAAACACCCAGACCGATACAAACAATCATACTCATGAATACAAATATTTGTACCATCGATTCCTCGAATCGAACCGCGACCGTCGGATGGCAAAGCGATATGCTCTTTTTTTATCTGCTGATATAGAAAACCAATTACATACAATTTGGTACACTTTGTTTATATGTAACTTGCATAATATTTTGTATCTCATTGTGGTGTTCATTTATAAATTTACAGAGTACCACACAGACACACACACACCAATATGTATGATGACAGATGACCAATGAAAACAATTTGCAAACTGAAACTGTAAGTGAAAGAAAGAACAACAATAGACAGAAAGAAGATCTTGGAGAAGCCCTGAATATGGAGATATTGAATAAATATAAAAAAGTTTAGCCTAAGTTATAGAATAGAATAGAATAGAATAGAGTAGAAATCATTTATTCAAATAAACTTACATTGAAGCACTTTTGAATAGTCATCACATTTTTTTTAATCTACCGCTCATACGGAATGCTGTCTCATCACAAGAAGAACAAGCAAGAAACTTGTGTGTTGTTTTATACCTCATCCACTAGACCACCGAGGCTGTATAGACCGCAATAAATACAAAAATAGCCTATAGACATACATATAGATGTATGTCTATAGGCTGTTTTTGTATTTATTTCTCTACTAAAAGTCCATATACATTATATGGACTTTTAGTAGAGAAATAAATACATTTTTAATATGACAGACCAGTCCCCACAAGCAACACTCGATCCGTCATACTCGTGAACGTGTGCTGCTTGTGGGGACTGGTCTGTTCAGGTTGCGAACGCTGATTAAATTTGTTCTTTGCGATAGCATATGCTGGTGGTCACTCTATTCTCCCAAATTTGAATTTTAATGACTGTGTATTATTGTAAACATGTACATTTATTTAAAAAGAATACGAGCTGAGTTTCTTGTCAGTTCTTCTCATCTCGAAATCATTCCGAACTGACGGTAGATTTGACATATCATAAGAGTCTGTAATAGACCTACATGAATAAAGATATTTTGAATTTGAATTTGAATTTAATAATGAATCTGTATTATTGTAAACATGTACAACATTTATTTGAAAAGAATACGAGCTGAGTTTATTGTCAGTTCTCATCTCGAAATCATTCCGAACTGACGGTAGATTTGACATATCATAAGAGTCTGTAATAGACCTACATGAATAAAGATATTTTGTATTTTAATTTATGTAGTTTGATTACAAACTCACCATTTTTATTCACCCTTTTTTTGTTGTCGGTATTCACATCATCCATCTTGTTGGATTTAGTAACTTTTAGCTTTCTGTTCTTTTTATTAAGTAACCTCTTTACAGAATTATTTTTTACATCTGATCTCTTGTCTCTTTCTTTTCTATCTGTAAAGAGAGAGAGCGACTTTATTGTAATGTATGTACCTTATTGGTTATACTGACTATTGTAAGATATAGGTATGAAGTTTTGATATTTTTATTAATAACTAGCTGAGCCGGTAAACGTTGTTTTGCCTTAAAATAAAAAAAAAATTACGGGTGGACTACCCCTAACATTTAGGGGGATGATGAAGATGTTGGCCGATTCTCAGACCTACTCAATACGCTCACAAAATTTCATGAGAATCGGTCAAGCCATTTCGGAGGAGTATGGGAACGAAAACTGTGACACGAGAATTTTATATATAAGATAAAATCCGCGGACAATTCACACAGCGCCATCTAGAGCTTGTGTTATGGGTAATCTAGTCCTAAGCTAAGCAGAGCTCGTATTATGGGTACTAGACAACTGATACAAATACATGGAAATTTTTTTATATGTAAATACATAATAAACATAGAAAGCCCAGACCATTACAAACAATTATATTCATGAATACAAATGTTTACACCGTGCGAGGAATCGAACTCACGACCATCGGAAGCAAGGCAGTTAGACCAGGCCGTCAAACATTAGTTGTCTAGTAACCATAACACCATATATATGCATTTAGTGAAAAGCTGTTAATTCGAAATTACAAACGGATACTTAAATTTTATTTATTTATACAGATTAAACATCATCATCATTTTAGCACCGAAGATGTCCACTGCTGAACAAAGATCTCCCCAAAAGTTCCACGACGACTCCTACACATTTCTTCCCATCATCACCATCATGATCATCATCATTTTAGGACCGAAGATGTCCACTGCTGAACAAAGATCTCCCCAAAAATTTCACGACGACTCCTACACATTTCTTCCCATCATCACCATCATGATCATCATCATTTTAGCACCGAAGATGTCCACTGCTGAACAAAGATCTCCCCAAAAATTTCACGACGACTCCTACACATTTCTTCCTATCATCAACATCATGATCATCATCATTTTAGCACCGAAGATGTCCACTGCTGAACAAAGATATCCCCAAAAATTCCACGACGATTCCTACACATTTCTTCCCATCATCACCATCATGATCATCATCATTTTAGCACCGAAGATGTCCACTGCTGAACAAAGATCTCCCCAAAAGTTCCACGACGACTCCTACACATTTCTTCCCATCATCACCATCATGATCATCATCATTTTAGGACCGAAGATGTCCACTGCTGAACAAAGATCTCCCCAAAAATTCCACGACGACTCCTACACATTTCTTCCCATCATCACCATCATGATCATCATCATTTTAGCACCGAAGATGTCCACTGCTGAACAAAGATCTCCCCAAAAATTTCACGACGACTCCTACACATTTCTTCCCATCATCACCATCATGATCATCATCATTTTAGGACCGAAGATGTCCACTGCTGAACAAAGATCTCCCCAAAAGTTCCACGACGACTCCTACCCATTTCTTCCTTCTCCCACTCCAGAACGCTTTCCAGCAATCTTGACCAGATCGTCGGTCCAGCTTTAAGTTAATGTATATTAAACATCCTACATCTATACCATATAAATAAAATTGCAGTGTCTGTTTGTAATATTGAAATAACCGTTTTTTACTACATGCATATGACTATAAATACGGTACATACACGAAAATAACAATTTTTTACAATTTTTGTCTGTTAGTTTGTTCCGACTAATCTCTGAAATGGCTGGACCGATTTTGACGGGACTTTTTTTAGCAGGTAGCTGATGTAATAAGGAGTAACTTAGGCTACTTTTATTTTAGAAAAATAAAGTGTAATTCCACGCGGACGAAGTCGCAGGAACAGTTAGTTATTAAATATTTTTTTAATTTGAGTACCTCTGACATCTTTATGTTCACAATTGTCTATGACTCGCTCTGTGTCCTCTGGTTGCTTCCCCTGTGCCACGCTCAAAGCTGTCTTCTTGGATGGTATGGCGTTTGAGTGGCTTATACTGTCGTTCAGCTTCAATTCCGAATTGAGATTCAATTCTGAAAATAAAATTAAACATTTTCTTTCAAAACACAAAAAAAAAATTGTTATAGAATGCAATTTTTTTTTATTGAGTTTTTGGGCAATTGATAGATAAAATAAATTGCAATAAATATATTTATTTATTTATTTATTTTATTTAACTCTTTATTGCACCAATAGAATTAATACATAAGAATTATACAGAAAAGAGATATGGAAGTACAAAAGGCGGTCTTATCGCTAGAAGCAATCTCTTCTAGACAACCTTTAGGTAGAGAAAATACAACAAAAGTGGTAGGTGGCGCATGAATAGAATGGAAGAATATATATATAAAGGTAATAATAGGGATAGGATAATAATACCAATAAATATTAGAAAATAACACACATTATATATACTATATATAAAATATATACATACATAGATATATAAATATATAAATACAAGTACAAAACAACAATGTCATATGCAATGAAACAAGACACATAGCAAGAAGGAATACAGGGAGATTTAAGTGGAAAGGTAATGGGATTTAACTGAGCTCTTAAAAATGGGTAGTGATTGTGCTCTACGAATGGAGAAAGGTATAGAATTCCAAAGGCGAACAGTATGAACTGAGAAGGATTTACTGTAGAATGAGGAACTATGTGAAGGAGTTTTAAGGAGGAGGTTTGATGCACTACGCAAGCCATGGTTTTGTGCCTCTCCGAGAATGAATTATTTGAAACAAAAAATATTTTTTACAGTTTTGGGCTAATGTTGTCTGCTTGGACCTGTAGCACTGCGACCTACATAGATCTATTGTGCTCGCCCTTTTTCAAAATTCGCTAGCTAGACCCGTCAGGGACTAGAACTACCTTTAGTAGTTCTTGCGTGAAAGAGTAACATATGTTAGGGTTCACATGGATATTTTCGAAAAATCTGATATTTAATATTAAAAGAAGGTAGTTTCATTATTACTCGGTATCGTTAAACTAGTTGCATATAACCCCCACTCATATCTTCTCTGTATAAAAGGGAGGGTTTTTGTAGGCCGCGGCATTCGGTCTTTGAGCACAGGATGTGCTGCTTGTATTTTAATTGCTAAAGTGAATTGTGTTAGAGACATAGTTAAATTAGTGTTATATAGTTGTTATTTTATTATAATACATACTTTTACTGACGACCTCGGTGGTCTAGCGGTCTAGCACACCGCTTTACGTCCGATGGTCGCGGGTTCGATTCCTCGCACGGCACAAACATTTGTATTCGTGAGTAAAATTGTTTGTATCGGTCTGGGTGTTTTCTATATATAATATGTATGTATTTACGAAAAAAAAAAAAAATTATCTATGTATCTGTATCAGTTATCTAGTACCTATAACACAAGCTTTAGCTAGCTTAACTTGGGACTAGATGGCACTGTGTGAATTGTCCTGAGATTATTATTATTATTATTATATTATTTTACTAGTACATAGAGTTGATATATCTTACACAAACATTCATCCATACCACAAACTTACTCGTTTATAATATTAGTAAGATAGTAAGGGAGGTACAATTACTATATCTATATTCAAAACATAGTAACTGACTTCTAATGTGTAGTAATAATAATAATAATTAAATAATAATAATAATAATAATTAATTAGAATAACGTAAAATAATGCTGTGAATATAACCTCACCTGCAAACACCTCATGTTTCTCTATCTCCAGCAGATCAATCTCCGCGTCCGGTACCAGCTCGTCGTGGTCCTCAGGCTCCTCTTTGATGTGGACCATCGGTGGTACATCAACCATCCTGTTTAGATAACGATGTTTCTAGATTATTTACATTTTAATCGGGTCTTAATCCGGGTTAAAAAATAACTATGTTTCTACTTAATTACAGTTTTAGGAATTAAAAATTGAAATGTAGAGAAACTCTTTTGATATTAATGGAGATGGTAACTTACGCCCGGCAGAAGCACAGTCGGCCGGGGTTCAGGGCCCCAGGGAGAGAAACCGGCGTACAATGCGGGCAGAATCTAACAGCACCGCTTTCTGCATCTTTCCCGGGAGTGAGCCGCCGAAATATTATTATATTTCCATTTGACCGCATTCACAACCGAGCAGCCAGAATCATTGGTAATCAACGTCTATGTGACAGACTCGACCCGTTGGCTTTGCGGCGAGATATTGCATCTCTGTGCATTTTCTACCGCATATATCACGGGGAGTGTTCTGAGGAATTGTTCGGATTAATACCAGCTGCTGAGTTTCACCACCGTACCACCCGCCAGAAATAGAAATACCATCCTGATCATCTGGATGAATGGCGGTCCTCCACAGTGCGGTTTTCTAGAAACTTTTTGCCTCGCACAACCACATTGTGGAATCACCTTCCAGCAATGGTATTTCCGAACCGATACGATATTGAAACCTTCAAGAAAAGAGCTTATTCCTTTTTAAAAGGCCGACAACGTACTTGCAATTCCCCTGGTGTTGCGGGTGCTCATGGGCGGCGGTAATCACTTACCATCAGGTGAGCCGCATGCTCGTTTGTCCCCTGTGTTATATAAAAAAAACTCTTTTCTTTCTATTCCTTTAAAAAATTTAAAAGAAGGTAATACTCACATATACGGACCTTAGCCAAGTGTGTGAGAGGTTGTGCTGTGTGATGATATTGTTGAGGAGGTCGGGAATTTTCGAGTTATGCGACAGGTATTTAATATTCTGGCTTTTTGTAGGAGATGTGTTTTGGATGGGTGAATATTTAATGTTTGCAGACTATTCTGGAGTGTTTTGGGTACATATATTATTATAGTTATTAAGAATAGAATAGAAAATCATTTATTCAAATAAACTTACATTGAAGCACTTTTGAATAGTCATCACATTTTTATAATCTACCGCTCATTTGGAAAGCTGTCTCATCACAAGAAGAACGAGCATGAAACTTGCGTGTTGCTCTTTTAAATAATTTTATTATTTCTTTATATTTTTAAGTTGAAAGTGAATACAAACCACCAATTAGCACTAATTCAATTAGATACTCAAATAGAAAACAATATTGAATAAGTAAAATAACTTACGCATCGTATCCAATAAGTTTCACTCCGCGCTGTCTTAAACGCATCTTCATTCCTTTCTGTCTCTGAAACAACAAATAAAATATTTAATAATAAAGCATTTTGGAAAATATTCACCAACTAACTGTACCCGCCACTTCGTACTGTTATGCCCGAGCCCAGTACAAAGAAAATGCTGAGCCTGAATAATTCCCGATTTACATCGTTATATAAAAACAGTTTAGACAGTTAGTCAAACCAGTCCGCGTCGATAACTCATTGCACTTGCACCTACATAGTTTGGGATAAGTTTGTTAATATAATAACTTGTGAAACCACATTTTCGAAATAAACTATCTGAAATCAAGCCGCCTAACAGTCCGCGAAAAGAGTGACCTTGAACAAACAATGAAAAAAATATTTAACGACCTAACCCAATAAAAGCCAAATGAAAAAGTTTCATCGTTTCATCTTCAAAACTGATGACACTTCCATACATAACTCTTTCAACCCCTTATAACTCTTCTGTCGCATTCAAAACTAGGTCTAGACTATTTGTGTACTAAATTTCATTTAAATCGGTTCAGTAGTTTAGGCGTGAAAGCGAGACAGACAGACAGACAGAGTTACTTTCGCATTTATAATATTAATAAGGATAAAGCCTTTCTTTCAAGGAAATAGGTGATTATTTTACCATTCTATTCTTGCGCCACCTTTTGTCTTTTCTTCACTCTTTCACCCTTCTATCATCAACCCCTATTTCTTTATAGCGTTATTAATTTATATGGCAAAACAACGTTTGCCGGGACAGCTAGTAAATATTGTAACATCAGAATCACCGTATTTTATATGTGGTTAAAATACTGTCTATATTAGTGTTTCTCAAACTTAGTCTTTTTACCAACTCAACATTACTCTAGTTACTATATTTATAACTAGCTGTTCCCGCGACTTCGTCCGCGTGGTTTTTAACTTTATTATTCAAAAATAAAAGTAGCCTAAGTTACTCCTTATACATCAGCTACCTACCAAAAAAAGTTCTGTCAAAATAGGTCCAGCCATTTCAGAGATTAGCCGGAACAAACAGACCGACAGACCGACAAAAATTATAAAAATTGTTATTTTCGTATATGTACCGTATATATATTCATATGCATGTAGTAAAAAACGGTTATTTCAATATTACAAACAGACACTCCAATTTTATTTATATGTATAGATAATAATAATAATAATAATAATTACTCAAATGTTAAAAATAACTTTAACACTTACCGGTGTTGCGACGCCGCCACGTGCCCGAGCTCCGTACATATGTCTATGTATATGTTTGCCTAGCACAATCTTACTGAAGAAACTGAAAACACAAATGCAGACATTGTTAATTTTTTATACGCAAGTAGCAAACAAGCATACGGCCCATCTGATGGTAAGCTATTACCCTAGACTATGGACGCCTGAAACACCAGGGGAGTCACGCGTTGCCAACCCTTCAGAACCCTTCTTGAAAAACCCCATGCTGTAGTCTCGTGAGAAAACCTCGGCAGGTAGTTCATTCCACAATGTAAGTGTACGCGGGAGGAAGCTCCTCTGAAACCGCACTGTCCGAGACCACTTAGGTCCCAGCGTGTGTTACAAATACAGTAATACCTGAGAGACGGACAAGTGCCCTGGTTTCTTTTGTGAATTGTTTTTTTTAGACTATTGTCATCTCTAATAATTACCAATCATGACTCGAACATTGGTCCTTCGAGCCGGACAAGTGCCCTGCTTTCTTTTATGAATTGTTTTTTTTTAGACTATAGTCATCTCTAATAATTATCAATCATGACTCGAATATTGGTACTTCGAGCCGGACAAGTGCCTTGGTTTTTTTGGGAATTGTTTTTTTTAGACTATAGTCATCTCTAATAATTACCAATCATGACTCGAACATTGGTCCTTCGAGCCGGACAAGTGCCCTGGTTTTTTTGATGAAATTTTTTTTTCAGACTAGTCATCCGTAATACTAATAATCCGTAACGGAGTTTGGTAAACTCCGCAATAATCGCACGTGTAGCTCTTCATCTTTGTGGGCTGACGCGAACATTGGTCCTTCGAGCCGGAGCATAGTTTTTTGCCTTTTTTTTTATTGTTTTTTTAGGACTATAGTCATCCGCAATACTTATCTTACTCGAACCCTTGACTCGAACATTGATCCGTCGAGCCGGAACAAGTGCCTTGGCTTTTTTGGGAATTTTTTTTTCTGGCTATAGTCATCCGTAATACTTACCAAACTCCACAATAATCGCACATGTAGCTCTTCATCTTTGCGTGCTGACGTATGTGCGCGTTGAGACGTGTCCTCCGCGTGAACAGTTTCCCGCACACGTCACAGGGCAGCTGCTTTTCGGGCATATGGATTACCAAGTGCCGTTTTAATGCCCACTGGAAGGAAGAGGAAAACCTTATTGACAACCATTGCTTTGTTGCAAATTACAATTAAAAAATCATTCAAAACATCTGTTCAATCATATTTACTGAGCACAACCTCACTCGCTAAACGATTGCTTGAATGACAAGCGTGCATGGCAATAGTTGTTCATACACGGGATTTTCATTTAACGTCAGACATAGACACCTATATAAATATACATTGTAAATAAACTGGCTTTAAAAAAAAAGAAATTATGTTGAGTTTCTTGCCAGTTCTTCTCAATTGAATCTGTATACTGAACTGGACGGTAGGGAAAAGTTATAATATAAAAAATTTGACCTTCATAAGTGACTAAAATGTGTGAATAAAAAAAACATAATCACTCACTTTGTCTTTAAATCGTTTCCTGCACCCGTTGAACGTTTTGCTTTCTTCTTAATTGAGTCTGTATACTGAACTGGACGGTAGGGAAAATTTATAATATAAAAAATTACCTACATAAGCGACCAAAAGGTCCTACAAGAATCTCACTCACTTTGTCTTTGAATCGTTTCCTGCACCCGTTGAACGTACATTTGTACGGTCTATCTTCTTTATGGCTGACCATGTGCGCCGCCATATTGTTTTTATTTGTTAATTTCTTCCCGCATATATCACATTTGCACGCCGTCGACTTCTCGTGTATTGCTCGCTAAAAAGAATAATGTTGCGGGTGAATGATACGATGTTGTTGGTCGAGATCATGTATATTACAGATGATAATAAACTGACAATATGTACATAGAAATAATGATCTTATATACTAAATAACAATAGGAAAATGTAAGGTGGGGTGACACAGTTTAGACACAGCAGTGCTTAGTAGACAATATTGAATTTGTCTTACTAGACATTATTAAATGCAATTATTATTTTGATGTATCTAGGTAACTTATGGGTGTACCCCAGGGTTCTATACTTGGCCCATTTCTTTTTCTTGTTTACATAAACGACTTACCATACCAGTTTCAAAACATACTTGACATAGTATTGTTTGCTGATGACACATCACTTATTTTCAAAGTGAAAAGAAATACAAAGGATTTTAATAATACAAATATAGCTCTTGAGGATGTCCTAAACTGGTTTACATCAAATAATCTAGCGCTTAATTCAGTGAAAATAAAATGTGTTAAATTCTCTTTACCAAATATATTCTTTATTCTTTATTCTTTATTGTACACACACAGGAAAAAAAAAAAATAGCAATAATAAAATAAAAGTAATGTACAAGGGCGAGCTTATCTCTAAAAAGAGATTTCTTCCAGCAAACCTAGAAAATGTTATAGGATAATTTGGTCATTAGATCAGCCATACATACGTGTACGAGAAAAGAGAAGAAAAAAAGGGAAAGGAAGACATTAAAATTATATAAATATTAATAAGTCACACTATAAGAAGGAATAAACATACACAAATATATAAATATATAGACATACATAAATTGTACATAAATAATATATAAGGTAAATATAAAACAAGTAACGACAACTGTTAGTCTGAATCATCATGTTTTGGACTTTGTTGATGAGACTTCGTTTCTTGGTATTGTAATAGATAATAAATTGCAGTGGGGTCCACATATATTCACACTAGCCAAAAGACTAAGCTCGGCTGCTTTTGCTATGAGAAAAATTAGACAGTTGACTGATACTGCAACAGCGAAACTAGTGTATTTTAGTTACTTCCATAGTATAATGTCGTATGGTATTATATTGTGGGGAAGAGCGGCTGACGTAGAATCAATTTTTATATTACAAAAAAGAGCAATTCGTTCAATATATAATTTACCGTGTCGCGAATCTCTTAGAGAACGCTTTAAAGAAACAGGTATCCTTACTGTTCCCTCTCAATATATATATGAAAATATTATGTATGTACACAAAAACTTAAATTTATTTCCAAAAAATAGTCACTTACACGCTTTTGATACAAGGAATAAAAATAAATTAAATATGCCTAGTTATCGTCTCAAAAAAGTAAGTACATCTTTTTTAAATGTTTTATTTTTATCAACTTTTGGACATTTCAACATAATATTGTTAATTGCACATGTGTTACCCACTCACTAATAGTTATGCCTCACTGTTGGGTTGACAGGTAGAGATCTGTTTCAGAGATAAGTCCAACTTTGCACACTCTGTATATATTTAAAGAAGAAGAAAGTTTAGAACTATATTTAAAAGTGCAATAAAGAATATATAATAATAAGAGATAGGTAATTGTGAATATTGTAGGCATTCAGGTGTTTCTCTCCCTGACCAACCGGCATCTACTAGTGATTTTAATACATTTATATTAACAAAAAAAACCCTTACTATATGATTCCTCAGAATAGGCTTCAATTTAAACATTTTCCCACAATAATTGCACGGGTACTTCCTCAAGTCGATGTCCAGATGTTTCTCTGAGACGTGTGCTTTCAGCAGAGACTTTGTGTTGTATCTGAAAATAAAACAAACCACGGGTTCAGTGGTTTAGCGGTCACACCGTCTGATGTTCGCGGGTTCGATTCCTCGTACGGCACAAACATTTGTATTCATGACTATGATTGTTTTATCGGTCTGGGTGTTTTGTATGTATAATATGAATGTATTTTTTTGTAAATACATACATATTATACATAGAAAACACCCGCCCGTCCGATTGGGATTTGGGGCCTCAGGGCGACTCCAGGGGCGCTAGTGTGGAGCATCAAGTTGATTGCGCGGTGTGATGTGGTTGAGGTCGTCGTCTTCGCCGGCGAGGACGGTGTCGTGTGTGTATGTAGTAATAGCTGCAAGCAATCCTTCTTCTGCCCACAGATAATAAAACACATTCGTCCACAGATAGTAAAACACAACCGTCCACAGACAATAAAACACACTCGTTCATAGATAATAAAACACACTCGTCCACTGATAATAAAACACATTCGTCCACAGATAATAAAACACAACCGTCCACAGACAATAAAACACACTCGTCCACAGATAATAAAACACAATCGCCCACAGATAATAAAACACAATCATTCACAGATAATAAAACACAACCGTTCACAGACAACAAAACACAATCGCCCACAGATAATAAAACACAATCGACCACAGATAATAAAACACAATCGACCACAGAGAATAAAACACACTCGTCCACAGATAATAAAACATACTCGTCCACAGATAATAAAAAACACTCACTGTTTGGAGCAATGGCTGCACGTGTACATTTTGAGGCGGCCCGTGTGCCGGTCGTGGTGTCTCCGCAGCGTGGAGGTGTCGCGGCAGGCGTACTCGCAGTACGAACACTTGTATGGCTTCTCGTCTGCGGACAATTATATCAATCAACTACCTGATCCCGCGACTTCGTCCGCGTGATATTTAACTTTATTTTTCTAAAATAAAATTAACCTAAGAAACTCCCTATTACATCTGCTACCTGCCAATAAAAGTCGAGTCAAAATCGGTCCAGCCATTTCAGAGATTAGCCGGAAAAACAGACCGACAAAAATTGTAAAAAATGTTATTTTGGTGTATGTACCATATTTATATTCATATGTATGTAGTAAAAAACGGTTATATCAATATTACAAACAGACACACCAACTCTCTTCACTATGAAAATTGAAAATATATTGGTAGAATTAAAAAAAATACGGGACAATCATAATGAAATGAAATGAAATGAAATTTTATTGCATAAAATTAAAGTACATTGGATGTGGTATTTTGAATATTATTATATTGTTCGCACATTGTAGTCATTTCTGACATGCAACAGACAATTGTCAATTGAAATATCGTCATTATACATTGCTCATCATTACATACATATATTATTATAATTTATTTATTTATTAGTACTAGTCACTTTTTCACCATTTTTGAAAGGTATTCGTCTATAAAAGTCTATAAAAGCAGTTAGATAACAACCAATTATACAATTCTTTTTTTAATTTGCTTTTATTTAATTGTTTTAACTCCTTTGGCAACTTGTTCAATATTTTTATGGCCATTGGATAACAATTAGAGCTTGCTAGCGTTGAATTTATCAACGGATAATATAATTTATTAGGACGCCTCCTTGTGTACTTGGTCTCAAAATCATTAGATGTTTTAAATAATTCAGGATGCGATTTAACAAATAGGCACAGTTCGTAAATGTACATAGATGGCAATGTTAACAGTTTTAATTTTTGAAATAACGGTTTGCAACTTGTTATTGGTGAAACATCAAATATGGCTCGTATACATTTCTTCTGGGAAAGAAAAGCTCTACTTAATTCCACCGAATTTCCCCATAAAACTAAACCGTATCTTAATTTAGAGGCAACGCAACTGTGGTATACTAGAATAGCGGTTTTTGTTCCTGCTATTTTTGCTATTCGCCATATTGCATATGAGAAACGATTTAGTTGAATACATAGATTATCAATGTGGGTTTTCCAAGTGCAGTTTTTATCCAAAGCAAAAGCATTTGTTTCATTAATCGTTTGTCCCTGACACGTAATGTTTAGATTTCGGCAACTATTGCCAAGTTGATTTTGAAATTGTATTGCATTTGTTTTTCATATATTTACTTTTAAATTATTATATGTCATAGCAATTAACTTGTAGGTTTTTTTTGTTTTTTTTATTATATATTTACCATGTAATTAATTATAAGCTTTGTTACATATCTACTAATTATACCATTAATTAAATAAAAAATTTATGATTAGATAAAAAAAAACGTGTAATTAATTTAGTTTTTTCTTTCATAAGAACATCTTCTGACAATAATAAACTCATCAAAAAAAGAATTAACGAAATCGGCTCAGCCGTTACCGCGTGATACCGCGACCAGGGGAAATAGAAATTTTATTTGCTGATAAAGCTAATTCTCCACCTTGCTGAATTTGACCCATATAATATATGTACCCTATGCTATATGATTTGGACCCATATAATATATGTGCCCGAGGGGAAAGGGAATTGTTAGTAATGTGGAATGATCTCATTGCTAGCAATATACCATGTCAGGTTGACCTCCACGCGGTTCCCCCTGGAAACCATCGTGATAAATTTCTGGTGAATTTGTCACGATGGGCTAACTGACCTGACCACATGCTCATCTTATCATTCTCCACTGGTGCCCCGCCAGCGTAAACCATTAGCGCAGGCGGGAACACCATCCCATTATCATCCATAAAAAAAAAATATATGTACCCTATGCTATATGATTTTGACCCATATAATATATGTACCCTATGCTATATGATTTTGACCCATATAATATATGTACCCGGGGGGAAGGGGATTGTTAGTAATGGGGATTGATAACCCCATTGCTAGCAATGTACCATGTCAGGTCGACCTCCACGCGGTTAACCCCTGGAAACCATCGTGATACATTCCCGGTGAATTTGTCACGTTGGGCTAACTGATCTGACTTCATGTTCATCTTATCATCCTTCACAAAAAAAAAATATATATGTACCCTATGCTATATACAGTGGTGGTCATATAATTAGAAACACTTCTTATGAATAAAGAAAGTATAACTTAAACGTACAAATTATCGGAAAAAATATATACATTCAATAATTAATAATCATGCAATAATATAGCCACTCAAATTAAAAACTCATTAAATAGATAAAATATAAAACATATTTTAGTTTCAATTACAAAATCAGTCTTACGTATGTAGAAGTTTATTTTCTGTTACTTGCTGCTTGGACAACTAATTAGAAACATTTAAAAAAAAGCATCAATATATCGTTCTCTGTTTGGATTTTGACCCATATATGTACCCTATGCTATATATATAACAACTAGCGCCACACGCGACTTCGTCCGCGTAAAATACTTCCATAAAACCTTTCATATTCCTTTTCAACTCCTTGCAACCCTTTATTCACGTTAAAAAGTAGCATATGTCCTTTATCAGGGTCTAGACTATCTGTTTTTTTTTTCGGACTACTCTAATGCTGTTGGCCGTAGCTGGCCTTTACAGCTTCACCGGACGATAGGAGCGAGTGCAGATGGTACTCCAAACCCGCGGAAGGACTTATGGAGCGGCTGAAGGCCAACTCCTGCCCGACGGATACGACTTTAGTCTGAGGGCACCACTTGGGATTCGAACCTCGGCTCACGCCGTCGTAATTTCGATCCCCGTTTGAATTGGACGGGGGATCGATCGGAGGGGGGACTATCTGTGTGCCAAATTTCATTTAAATCAGTTCAGAAGTTTAGGCGTGAAAGCGAGACAGACAGACAGACAGAGTTACTTTCGCATTTATAATATTAGTAAGTAAAGTAAGTATAATAATCCTGGACAATTTACACTGCGCTATTTAGTCGCAAGTTAAGCAAAGCTTGTGTTATGGGTACTAGACAACTGACAAAAGTACATATATACATTCTATGTATACAAACCAACTGATACAAACAATCATACTCGTGAATACAAATGTGTGTACCGCGAATCGGACCGCGACCATTGGAAGCAAGACCGTGTGCTAAACGACTAGAGGTCTGGGGTTATCAAGCATAAGGCTGGGTGTATGGAAGTACTTACTGCTGTGTATCAACTTGTGTGTGTCCAATGTATATTTAGCACTAAATGTCTTGCCGCAGTCATCACATTTGTACGGCTTCTCACCTGCAATAACAAAATTATAATGTTAATAATAATGGCCTATATCATCATCATCATCATCATCATCACCATCATCATCTCAGCCCGGAAGACATCCACTGCTGGACATAGGCCAAATTGGGGGAGCCAAAGATCTTCACGACGATGGCCTACATTGCTCTAAATAAATTAAATGATACATTTTTCTAAAATAAAAGTAGCCTAAGTTACTCCTTATTAGAGTGACAGACTAGATTCGAGTCAGAAACTCACCCGTATTCACTCTCATGTGACAGACTAGATTCGAGTCAGAAACTCACTCGTATGCACTCTCATGTGACAGACTAGATTGCTTCAGGAAACTCACCTGTATGCACTCTCATGTGACAGACTAGATTGCTGCAGAAAACTCACCTGTATGCACTCTCATGTGACAGGCCAAATTCGACTGATAGTGGAACATCTTCCCGCACACGCTACACTCACACGAGCTGGGGTCGCCGTGGGCTCGTTGCACGTGCCTCAAGAGGTACTGCCGCGTCTTGCATGAATAACTACATATATCGCATGTAAACGGTTTCGACGTGTTGTGTAGCTGCATATGTTTTGTTAATGAACCTCTTTCTTTAAATATCTGAAATGAAATGAAATTCATTCCCACACGCTGGAACCCAAGTGGTCTCGGACAGTGCGGTTTCAGAGGAGCTTCCTCCCGCGTACACTTAGATTGTGGAATGAACTACCTGCCGAGGTTTTCTCAGGAGACTACAGCATGGGGTTTTTCAAGAAGGGTATATTAAGGTTTTTTAAGGGTCGGCAACGCGCACGTGATACCCCTGGTGTTTCAGGCGTCCATAGGCTACGGTAACCATTTACCATCAGATGGGCCGTATGCTTGTTTGCCGTCATAGTAGTATAAAAAAAATTTGAAATTAAATTAACACATCATGAGCGGGGTAGGTATTTGTACTGTCGCTGTCTGTCCCTATGTATGTTTAAATCTTTAAAACTAGGCAACAGATTTTGAAGCGGTTTTTTTTAAAGATAGTGATTGAAGAGGAAGGTTTATATATATAATATATGTAGATCCGTGCGAAACCGGGGTGAGTGGCTAGTTAATAAATATATATGTTGTATGTATATATATATTTTGCCTGTATCACTTAAAATTACTTATTTTAAACGTGTACTAAACCTTCCCCTCTTTCAAATGGCAATGTGCAGAAAGAGTTCTAGTACCTGCCCCACTTATAAGTGGCAATCATCGGGATGAGTATAAATAGCTGTCCCACTCATAATTTGTTAATATAGAATTGAATAAGCTATCCACAGATGGGTGGTGGGTGGTAGGAAGGGTGTTTTTTATACTATAAAAAAGGTTGCAAAAAGGCAATCAGTCTGTCTGGTGATAAATGATTACTGTAGCCTATGGACGCCTGAGACACTTAATATATGCCTGAGACACCAGGGGTGTCATGTGTTGCTGACTCTTAAAAAATCTTAATTCTTGAAAAACCCCATTGATAGGTAGGTAGTTCATTCCACAATGTAAGTGTATGCGGAAGGAAGCTCCTCTGAAACCGCACTGTCTGAGACCACTTTGGTTCTAGTGCATGGGGATGAATTCCCTGTTGATGGCGAGCAGTGCCATAGTCGGCCAGGTTTTTATCAGTTCTTTACAATTGAAGCTATATACTTGAATTTGTATTAATACAAAAAAAATTACATTCATAAGTGTCTAAAATGTCCTACAATAATAAATATATTTTTTTGATTTGAAATTATTTACCATTTAGATTAAACTAAAGAAAACCATAGCAAAATATGTCATGTGGATACTGTAGTGTAATGAACATAGACTACTTAAGTGTAGTATATTAATCTACTCTGTGGTTGTAATTATTGTACCAACATCACCATTTTTTTTATACTGCAAACATGCTTGTTTGCAGTATAAAAAAAAAAAATCTACTCTGTACTGTTTTGGCCTCCATAACAAACATGTGATTAATTAGAGATTGGTGTAATTTATAATAGATACATTTAAGAATTTAGAATAGATACATTTAATTATTTAAGATTTATACTTCTCAACTGACCTTTTTACAGATTTTGCATTTAGGCTCGCCAAATGTGGTTGCTCTTTTCTTAGATTTCAAGTTCCCCCGAAGTATTTCTTCTGAAGGAATCATGTCTGTATCATCCTGTAATGTGAAGATCATCATCAACCATTATGACTGCTTAAGTGGTCTAGAGGTCCGCATACCGCTTTATATCCGATGGTAGCAGGTTCGATTCCTTGCACAGTGCAAACATTTGTATTTATAATTATCATTGTTTGTATCGGTCTGGGTGTTATCTATGTATATTATGTATATATTTATAAAAAAAGAACTATTTATGTCAGTTATCTAGTACCAATAATACAAGCTCTGCTTAGCTTGGGACTAGATGGCGCTGTGTGAATTGTAGAGGGTTATTGTTATTATTAAATAAAATACAAATAATATTGATATATTTTAAAACATGTTACCAATAATTCATTCAAGAAAAATGGGTAAGAAACTTGGCTGATTGCGGATAGACAAAATTTAAGTAAATAAAATAAATTTTTAAAGAAAAGATTTATTGAAATGGGATTCATAGATAAAGCTGAGAAGAACCATAGAATTACAAGTAAATATTTAAAAAAATATTAATGTATACGTAAATATTTTAAATTAAAAAAAATATAGGTGTCGGTAAAAAGAATATACATTCTTACCTCCTCCATGATTATTATTGAATTATTTATTACTTTATTGCACAAAATTTTAACAGTAATATGTACGTTTTATTATAGTAATTACACAAAAATACAAATGTGATGATTTTAAAAATTGCATATTTTTTTATTTAAAAAAAGAATTTTTTTTTTTTATGTTTTCCCAGCGAACGTAAACTAAAGCTGTATTTGACATATGCATGACAGCTTCGATTTTTGTATCTGTCATTTGCAGTTTACAGATGATAAAAACAAGATTTTTTTTATTAAGCAGATTTAAGGCTTGTGAGTTAAGATACAATATAATGAAGGGTTGTCACACAATTTTGGAGGGGTTTTGATGTAATTTCAATAAACAAAGGTTTATGGGATACTAAAGCAAAATTTTTTGGGGTATCCAACCAGTGTCAATCAGTCAGAATGACGTTTGCTGTCTACTGTGAAAACACTATATGTCAGTACAGCTGTCAACGTCAATATGCTCATAAAATATATCATGTGGTTCTCTGGTTTCTTTAATATTTATCGCGGTTTATTTAATCAGCTTGTTTTCGTATATATTTAACTAAATATACTAACATATATTGTGCAAATAAAAGTGTTCAGATCACCTTCATAAACTGTATTATATTCATGTGAAGCGTGTTTTCGTTGCGTAGAATTTTGTTTTTAATTCCAACTGATCTAACCTTGTTACCTCATCGAGTTGATTTTTATGGGTAAGTTTTTTATTACTCTATAAACCTGTAATCATCTATGTAGCTATTAGGTACTCTTTGACCTTAAGGTAAAGATAACATAAATTGTCTATTATTTAACGTGTGAATGTTTTATAATTTTATTTATACACTACATAACTAGCATTATAAAAATCATTATAATTAATGTTAGCGAAAACCATAAGTATCAATTTCGCATGTAAATAAAAAAAAAACAGCATCAAAATCGGTCCATTTGTTTATGCTGATGATGCATGATGCTACAGACAGAGAAAATACAGGAACACATCTTTTTTCTATTTTCAATTCTCAAATGGTATTTTTACTGAAAATCCTCAGTAAAAAATTCTCTGCAGTTTTATTTTACAAATATTTGTATCCAAGAGTATGGTAGTATGAGTAATGCTGTTTCTGTGTTTACATTGTGCATATAAACTTACAAATTATTTTATTACTATACTATCTTAATCTTAATAATATTATAAACATGAAAGTTTGTGAGTATGTATGTTTGTTGCTTTTTCATGCAAAAACTACTGAATGGATTTTGATGAAACTTTACAATAATATAGCTTATACATCAGAATAACATCCCTTAAAAATATAAAGAGGATGAAGCCGTAGGCACACAGCTAGTTATTTATAATTGTACTGACAAACATGGTGTGGTGACTGTGTTTAATAATTATTACCATTTTTATTTCAGTAATGGTGTAAGAAGCTAAGGAAAACAATGATTCAGCCATCAAGGAATAGTCCAGTAAAATTATATAATCTATGGAGGAATATAAATTTAATAAACAAAAGACATAAATGTAATAGTGACCACAATATTATAGCTAGAAAATATATAAATTATTTAAATGTATATGAGCACCAAAGAATATTAATACAACACATAAGAGTTCATTCAACAGGAAGTGATTCACATAGACAAAAAGTTGTCATAGAGACAACAAGACCTAAAATAGTCATAGACAAAGTATTGCCAGATAGAGAAATTGTGGATAAGAGAGTAGATTTTAGAAGTGTACTAGAGCCTTATGTAAAATTAGCTAGATGGGATAGACCGATAGGTAAGTTTTATTTTAATGTACATTGTAAAATAGATTTATGTAATTATAACAAGCATAAGGGTAAGTGATAACTGTCCTCTATACACAGTTCAATATATCATCTGTTAAATAGAAAAATAGCAGTTTTCAAAATGTACAGTTTTTACAAGAAAAGATTTGAAGTTTTTAAATTAATTAAATTATTTCTCCATTAAAGTATTTAGACAATGATTAACACCTTCATGAAGGAGGACTACTGGCCGAAGGGGGTGGTCTATCGGCGCTACCGTGGCAGATTGCCGTCGTCAGTGCCGTGACCATAGAGCCAATTTTATTTTACATATTTGATTATTATTTCTTATGTATGTTAGTCTATAAGGTATTTATAATATGGGCCATGTAGCCTGAATTAAATAAATAAATAAAATAAATAAATAAGATGGCGTGGTTTAATTGACTTATATAAAAGGTGGCAATTCTAGCTTCTAATTTAGAAAATTGACATTTTCCTATTTAATCGACAATATGTTATGAAGACCCACCTGATGGTAAGTAGTAAACATTGTCTGTATACATAGCATCTTATGAATACAAGCAAGCTGCTTGCCAACTGAAATAAACAGAGTTACCCATGCAGATGACAACTACTTTAGTGTCACACCACTGCTATGGGTTTGAATCTCGGCTATGCCGTCGTGATTTCGATTAGTTGAATGCGACAGGTGATCGGAGGGGATGAAGCAAGCTGCTTGGCTTGCAATTATAACAGATGACAAAATAGACAGACAGCGGTCTAGGGGTGTACAGACGACAAGTTTGCTGTACATTCTCTACCTGTTACAGGAGTCTACCTCCTCTACTGGCCCTGCACGTGGTCGATAGCATTAGCATCCATTCCTGGGAATGTACCGCTGCAGACGACTCTTCAGACGGCCGGCTTGTTCCTGGTCGGAGCTGGTCTCATGAGGGGCGCTGGATGTACGATCAACGATTTATGGGACAGAGATGTTGATGCTCAGGTGAGAATCAATATTACATACACCTATTTCTATTCTCAATCATTTGAATTTAACAAAAATCTTTTGAATTTCTTGCTAGTTCTTCTCAACTGAATCTGTATACTGAACTGGACCTTTTGGTAAAAATGCAATAGCGTGTGCTGGTAGTCACTACATTCTTTCTAATTGAATTTAAAAATTATTCTGTGTTCGATTCATGAGTATTCATGAGTATGATTGTTTGTATTGGTCTGGGTGTTTACTATATATAATTTGTATGTATTTACAAAAAAATATATAAGTATTTATATCAGTTGTCTAGTACCCATAACACAAGCTCTGCTTACCGTGGGACTAGATGGCGCTGTGTTAATTGTCCAGGATTATTTATTTATTTATATCAGTTGTCTAGTACCCATAACACAAGCTCTGCTTACCGTGGGACTAGATGGCGCTGTGTTAATTGTCCAGGGTTATTTATTTATTTATATCAGTTGTCTAGTACCCATAACACAAGCTCTGCTTACCGTGGGACTAGATAGCGCTGTGTTAATTGTCGAGGGTTATTTATTATTTAATTATAATTACAAATCAATCAAATCAAAATATCTTTATTCGGGTCGTCTTATGATATGTCAAATTCACCAATTTTCATATACAACTTTCAGACTAACCCAATCATTTGTGTGCAGGTGGAAAGAACGAAAGACAGGCCGCTGGTGTCCGGTGCTGTTAGTGCTAAACAAGCTGTGGCGTTCCTGGCGGCGCAGCTTAGCTTGGCGCTGGGAGTGTTGCTGCAACTGAATTGCTACAGTGTTGTCTTAGGAGCTAGCAGTATGAGTAAGTTAATTTCTAAATAAATATCTATAAATATTTATTCAATAGCTGTAACTGTGGTTTCACCAGTAAGAAATTTATAACCTACTAGCTTTTTTAGCTGTTGATATTTAATTTTTTTTTTTTTATAAAAAATATTTGGTTTATTAAAATAAAAAGTGTACTGTATTCATTCTAATACCTCCAAGAGCATGTGTACAAAATTTCATGATGATCGGTTCAGTAGTTTTTGCGTGAAAGCGTAACAAACATAGCTGTTCGGACATAGTCGGCTCGCCGGACCGGAGGCCGCGAGCAATGCTGCGGGCGCGGCTCGACGACCAACCGTCACCCTCACTTCGGATCTCACCACCGATTACGACACGCGCACTCAATATTCTATCATTCTTTGTATTTCATATTTAAATTATTACATCTAATCTACAGTCCATAACAAGAACCTTTAATTTAAAAGTCCTTAGTTTAGGACCCTACATACCTATTTTCACATTACTAATGTACTTTGTGTTCCTTACTTTCACATTTATAACAGTAATGAAGTTATCCGAGCGAAGCCGCGGTTAAAAGCTAGTAGTCTATAATTGTTTCGCTCGCATAACTTAATTACTGGTTGCTAGATGGCGCTGAAATAGAAAAATGTATATATTTTATTTTTTTGTTCTTGTAGTCTATATATTACCTTATTATTATAACCTCCTTTGCTAAAACTTAGAACTGTGTTAGCATGCCAATCAAACTTAGGCAAAGAATACCTTATAGTAAAAGGACAACAAAGGAGTTTAAAGAAATCCCGGGGCAATAACAACTAGTACAAACGGGCGCCTTTACGGTGGGCGTTAAACAACCAACAATAGCGTTCACAAGGGTTGGTGTCAGGCAGGCGGCCGGCCGTAAAACACTTATCCCAAAAACCTTTGCAGTATGGAGTAGTCTATGATTATAATCCTTCCGACTAGCCGTGTGCTCCACCTACTCTATTTCAGTTCTAGTAGTGACGTATCCACTAGCGAAGAGGTTTACCAACTATCCCCAAATCTTCCTCGGGGCGACGTTCAACTGGGGGGCACTGTTGGGGTACTCAGCGGTGCAGGGTACCCTGGTGCCGGAGATCTGTCTGCCGCTGTACTTCGGAGCGCTGGCGTGGACAATCGTCTACGATACCATATATGCCCATCAGGTTAGAAGTGTATTTTTTTTTAATTTAGATTATTTATTTTTCTTTACAGTAGAAAATAGAAAATATCTTTATTCACTTTTTAATAATAATAATAACCTCAGGACAATTAACACAGCGCCATCTAGACCCAAGTTAAGCTAAAGCTTATGTTATGGGTACTAGACAACTGATACATATACATAGATATATATTATTTTTGTAAATACATATAAAACACCCAGACTAATACAAACAATCATACTCATGATTACAAATGTTTGGTACCGCGCAAGGAATCGAACCTGCGACCATCGGGCGTAGTAAGGCGGTATACTAAAACCACCGAGGCCGTCAAATTTAATAGTTTTTATATTATTATATATAATGTATAATAAATTTATCATCATCATGATCATCATCATCTGCTTTTTCCTTATAAAAACAAATCAAGTCAAACCTCTTCATGTGCGTTCATTACAGATGCTCCTTCCTTATCCCATTTATTTGTGGTCGTAATATGTTTTTCTCTTCCATTCATCTCTGTTCGCAGTCATCTCGTTATTTACTCCCTTTCTTACCATATCATCCAAGTGAACAGTTATATTTTTTTATCTTACTAGTGAAGTAGTTACCCCATGGCTAGCAATGCACCATGTTGACCTCGACGGTGCCCCCTGGAAACCATCGTTATAAATCCCTGAGGGGGGAAGGGGACTGTTAGTAATGTGGATTGATAACCCCATTGATAATCAGGTCCACCTCCACGCCGTTCCCCCTGGAAACCATCGTGTTAAATTCCTGGTGAATTTGCCACCATGTGCTAACTGACCTGACCTCATTCTCATCTTATCATCCTCCACTGATGCCCCGCCAGCGTAAACCGTTAGCGCGCAGGCGGGTGCACCAGTCCATTATCATCCACAAAAAAAACCCTGGTGAATTTGCCACCATGTACTAACTGACCTGATCTCATGTTCACATTATTATTATTCCAGGATAAATTGGATGATGCACGTATAGGCATGAAGTCGACGGCGCTGACGTTTGGCTCGCACACTAAGCCGGCGCTCGGGGGAGCGCTGGCAGCCAGCGTGGGGTGCCTGGCAGCCGCCGGGGCCAACGCTCAGCTCGGCCCGCTCTACTACGCAGCGCTACTTGCCTACACCGCACACGCCGGCAGACAGGTCAGGACATGGCACGGATCTGCTAACCGGGGAGGGTCACTTGGGGGAAGGGATGGTTAGTAATGTGGACTGATGACCCCATTACTAGAAATGTACCATGTCAGGTTGACCTCCTGGAAACCATCTTGATAAATTCCTGGTGAATTTGTCATTTTTGACATGAATGAACTATTAGTGAATGTAGAAAGATGTCAACATAATTCAAGTACACAAGCTAACCAACCACACAATGATTTTTTTTTTAATAAGTTTTACGGCTCTGGATACAAGTCCTTTTTAGCCCAACTTAAAGTTTCAATGTGTAACATTGCCATATCTAACAAGAATAATATTTATCTTTATATAATAGGTTACCTGCCGTTAACGTTCAGTAGGTCTGAGAATCGGCTACTATCTATTTTTCATGCCCTTAGTGACAAGGGTTGTCTATCAACAACCCCTTTAATAGCGATTTTAATTTATATGGCATAACTACGTTTGCTGGCGCAGCTAGCAGTTTTATAACTTTTATGCCTATTTTTAAATTCTGTATTTTTTTCAGATATACACTCTGGACCCGGATTCTCCCAACGACTGCGCGAAAAAGTTCAAATCAAACTCTCTGGTTGGTCTCATTATATTATTGGGAATTATAGGCGGAGGATACACCCAGTACATAAGGAATAGACAAGAGTATAAAGGTAAAGAAGACTTGTCTATATCCAAAAGTTGCATTTTCAGTTAAGTTGTAGAGATACTAATTGTAATTTCCCGGTGATTTATACCGCGGGAACAGGTATAAATTGAGCTATCACGACAGTTTAGTAAATTACCAAAAGTTAATGTACACTGTTTTTATGGTTATCGTAAGGATTTATTATATTAGTGTTTTAATGGGTTATCAACTGAAATCAAAATATGAAATGTAATTAAATGAAAATTCCTTATTGTTGTCCTCACATAATACAAACAATTATATACAATATCTAAATATATATAACTCAAAGGTGACTGACATAGTGATCTATCAACGCACAACCCAAACCACTGGACGGATCGGGCTGAAATTTGGCATGCAGGTAGATGTTATGACGTAGGCATCCGCTAAGAAAGGATTTTGATTAATTCTACCCCCAAGGGGATAAAACAGGGGATGAAAGTTTGTATGAAACTTTGTCAATTTTAATCCGATCGGGCTGAGACTTTGCATGCATAAAGCTACTATGACGTAGTCATCCCCTAAGAAAAGATTTTGATAAATTCCAACCCTAAGGGGATAAATTAACGCGAGCGAAGCCGCGGGCAAAAGCTAATTATTATATAAAACAGGAATGCTTTTATAATGAATGTATCAGTGAGTTGTTGATTTTATATGACCATTTGTAGAAAGTTTATTTACATAACTTGTACAACAAAGAACCTAAAATTAAAAAGCTTAAAAAATATAATATAATAACTAAAATATATTATTAAAAGGCGTCCCTTTAGGATATATAAAATGTATATAAACATTACATTGACACAGTAAAATGGGAACAGTGGGAAAATATGTATGTTACATCATACAATCATACAAATGTTATAAATATTTTTATTATATTATATACATAACATAAAAATCATACCATATCGTCAGTAATTCTATGATGATATATAATTTGTATATATATATATATATATACATATATAACCATCACAACATACAGGCGGTCCTCGTACTTACGGCATGTAGGTTCTCGAAATATGCGACGTAATTCGTGATATATTTCTCATACGTGAGATTTAAGGTACCATACAGACTCAACAATAAAATAAAAACTGCATTTATAACAAAGGATATACTAACAAACTTTATTATCGATGACGTAAATCGAAACGACGTAAGTCGAGGACTGCCTGTATTTGAATTTTAAAAGTTATTTAATATTCTGTTATATTTGAAAAATGTGTTAAATTTCTTAGATTTACTTAACGAACCAAATGGTTAACCTGTTAAAAATATGGTCTGTGCCTCTATATAATAAGGTTATTAAAAAAATAAGTTCAAGATGGCGCATTTTCGCGCCAAATTTGAAACAGTGCTGTGAGTCATATACGTTGCCAACAAGTTTCGAATATGTTTGAATAATGTAGATTTATTATTTTCGTTTTTTTTTAATATTGTTGTTCCTAGAATTTTGTAATTTATTGTGTTTAGTTATAAAGTTCAAAACAATATAAGTAGGCTGTGTGACTTAGGTTATTCGACATTTAAAAATAGAACACGAACGCTGTTCCAATATGGCGGTCGCCGGAGCCAAAATAAAAGAAAATGGCGGAAGATTTTTCGAGCTGTACAAACAACTGCATGTCTACTCTGTAGTCTCATCTCTATATAGATTTCAATACAAACCATTTTTTTTTATTTTCTTTAATTATTTTAAATTTATATATTGAAGCTAACATAAGATTTAACAGACCTGTCTGGTCTTAATAATTGTTTTTATCCAACGTATTCTGTCAAATAGAAGATGAAACGCCACTACACATCCTATGTGGTTGTAGTCCACTTATGTCCACTATAAACGAAATATCTCCTTTGGAAAGTATACACTCTATCCTGAGGAGATAAAAACCATCGCTTCTAAGAATATCCTTCAATTCTTGTCCCTGAGGAGTCTAGGTAGCGAACTTTTAAAAGGGCGAGCACAATAGATCTATGTAGGACGCAGTTACAGGTCTTAGCACATTAACAATAACCCAAAGCCCTCAATAAAAAAATCAACCAACGCCATCTATTGTCGACGCCTGACAAAGTTTGTAATAATTATAAATAATAGTTTTATATAATGTTTCCTACCTCTTACAATATTGAGTCTTAAATCAAGAGTGAATAAGCATTATTTAACTTTGCATGTAACATCTTATCATTTAAGATTGAGGACAAATTTTGATATAAAAAAAATTAAGTGGCACTCGGGGCTGCCGCGGTAAAGCTATTGCATAGCATTTTTTATCAACTTATGCAATTATAATTATTTATTTATTTTATTTATGCAGTATTTATTTTCTTTGATATAAATTCAAGTTACACTTTATGAGCGTGGTGACCGATAAGAAAACAATTTATTATACTGTAATCAAATAATATTTCTCACAAACGGCTGCTTACGTATTCGTCCTATTTCGGAGCGGCTCGTCTCGATCCGTTCCGTGCGAGCTTCGTACAGTGTGCTAGTCGCACGCACACGAACACCATGCCGAAGTTTGCCGAAGTCTGCCGAAGTCTGCCGAACTGAAACGACGTTAGACGATGCACGGCTTTTTATTATTTATTTATTTAATTAACAGAATGTAAACTTACAGCTAATTGCCAACACGTTTATATTTTTGTTATACGTTGTTATATACTTTATTAATTTGCCTACTATTTTTTTCGTTTTTTTTTCTTTATATCTCTAACCGTTGTATAATTATAATTTATTTAGTGTAGTATAAGCATCATAATTTGTTTAACTTATATCAATTTTCGGTTGGGGCCTGTATTACAGGTTATGCCTATCTCAGACACCAGCTCCTCACAGCAAATCGATTAAAATAATAAATTTAAGTATTTTACTATAAAAAATACTACATGTATTGTTGCCATTATGTTTGTGAGGAGAAATAAATAAATCATATTATTATTTTTATCCAAAAATTCTCATCTCCCCTCTTAAGGAGATTTATTATTATATGTTATACGTGCTTTCAACGCCCACCGCTACCGATCGTAGTGATGGGTGTTAGGTTTATTTTCGTTACGGAATTTCTTAATTCGGTCGCCGCGCTCAATGCCAGCGATAAAAGCTATGCAATAGCTTAAAAATTTAAACGGTGTTTAATCATCATCGCAGCCCGGAAGACGTCCACTGCTGGACATAGGCCTCCCCCAAAGATCTCCACGACGATCGGTCCTGCGCTGCTCGCATCCAATGCCTTCCAGCGATCTTGAGCAGATCGTCGGTCCACCTTGCTGGAGGCCTTCCCACGGTGTTTAATATTGTTAGCAATTTATTTACAAATTTAAACTAGGTCTATGGGTAAAATAATTACATTGTTAATTCTGGGCTATTAAAATGGTTATTTTACGCAAATTATATGATACCTCGTTCAGAGACGAAACGCGATGCAATATAACACATATAACGCAATACTCAATAACGGTCGGAATTTGATCACCATTAGAGAAGGTGGTAAGGCTTCCAGTAGTGGTGGTCAGGTTGAACTGAATATTTGTGGTCTCACACATTAAGTAATGAAATGGACTTTCGCAAAATAACACATAATAATAATAATCTCAGGACAATTCACACAGCGCCATCTAGACCCAAGTTAAGCAGAGCTTATGTTTTGGATACTAGACAACTGATATCAATACATTGATACCTTTTTTTAAATACATACATATTATACATAGAAAACACCCAGACCGATAACAACAATCAAACTCATGAATACGTTATGTATGTGTATATGTATATATGTTTATGTGTATTTATGTATTTATATTTTGTTGTTATTATTTATGCTTCTATTAAAATTTACTATTATTTCTTGTACTATTAATATTTTTATATATATTGCTTTTCGACGCGTATTTTCTTATTGTACTTGTATCCACCACTCCACAATTCCTTTCAGTCACTCAAAGGTTGACTGGAAGAAATCCCTCTTTTGGGATAAGTCCGCCATTGTACCATCTATTTATTTTTTAAGACATATGTATCTATTAATATTTTGTACAATAAAGAATTACAAACAAACAAACAAATGTTTGTATCGTGCGTGGATTCGAACCTGCGACCTTCGTAAATAAAGCGATGTGCTAGTCTTAGATAATAATAATAATTCGATAAAGTATAAAAATCGAGTTACTTACAGAATAATGAAAATATGATTTGCGTAAATTATCTTATTTAATATTCTGAATGTCTAGTCAATTGTATGTATGTATGTATGTATGATGTGGTTTAATAAATAAATACATGAATTGAGTTTTTTTTTTTTATTGTACCCTTTATAGTTTAGTTATTATAAATACCTTATAGAATCAACGGCAGATCCAGGGGGGTCATGGGGGTCATGAATGAGGTGGTTCTAGGACTTAGGTGGAGCACTAATTGAACATAATGATTTTATTTATATATTTTGACACCATACAGATTTTATGTAACTACATACCTTCAATATTTAATTAATTATATTTAGATAGTGCTTCTCTGGATGTCTTCAAGAGAATATGGCGATATGTACGTGTATATGTACAAGTTTTTCTTGTGTTCAATAAAGAATAAATATTCTTAAGTACAGTACTTACATACATTAATAAATTAACTACTTTTTACCTGTATCTGTTGTTATCAAAATTAAATTATAAGTTCTTGACTTGACCACGACTATGTGACCCCCTCCTAGTGCCAAAGCTGGATCCGCCCTTGAATAGATCAGGGGTGACCAACTTGATTAGACCTAAGATCTCCTGTTTACTATTGAAGCTGTGTGATGTACCAATTACATACTTACTGAAATCTTAAATAAAACAACACAGTTCAGTTAATTTTATTAAGAGAGAAAACATAAATATCCTATATGTTCATAAAAATCTTGACTTATTTCCAAACAACAGCAATATTCATAATATTAATACTAGATTTAAAGACAAACTTGCTGTCCCCAAGTATCGTTTAGAAAAAGTCAATAGGTCTTTTATGGGAATAGGTATAAAAATTTACAATAAGATA